TCTTGAAACTTGAACATAATAATCTTCAAGGATAACCCTTAAAAATAACCAGACCGACATTGACCTTCACTTATAAATGACCTTGAATTTGCACAGGACCTCTGAGTGAACAAAGTTCGACTGTAGTTCAGTTATATATCTTAAATTATGTGCACATTGTTTACAGCATAAGTATAATAATAAAAATGTTTTTGTTTATTTCAGGATTTATTGGGTATGCTAAGGACGTGTATGAAATTATTTCCCACAATGCAGTAGCAGATAACGATGATGACCAGTTATATTACACTAAAATATTTCTAGACAAATCTCTCCAGGTATGATTCATATCTATGTACAAAACATTACCACTGTATAATGATAACAACAGTAAAATTTATGTTTTAATTAAAGCTTCCATTGTTTTGTAGATTCTGTAGGGGAGAGGTATTACATGAAAGTCAGGTGCCCATTCGTGCCTGAAATAATGCACGGAGGGGCGCCTGAGGTCTTCCTCCACCAGTAAAGCTGGAACGTCCCAATAGGACCTATACTTTGTCGATGTGACATAAAACCCAAAACAAAAAATACATGAAAGACAGAGTTATTTTGGTATCTTGTCATATATTGGTAACTGTAAGTCAGTTCTTTGCAAGTTACCTGTGTTTATCAATTCTATTGGAGAGAGTTTACAAATAAAAAGAATAGTGATATTCAGTGGGAAATAAACACCAATTATTTTTTTTTGTGTTTGTGTGCATAGTGACAAAATAGTCCATGGCCAAGTTGTTAAGGTCGTTCACCTCTAAGAACTTGCATGTCACTGCTGTGATTTTGGATCACTCCGGGAATTTTTTATTTATCATTTGAGGAAGCTATCAGCTAGCTTACAGAACGTCAGTGGTTCTACTTAGGCTAGGTGCCCACTCTTGCCTGATATAATGCACAGAGGGGCAACTAATGTTTTCCTCCACCAGTAAAGCTGGAAAATCAACATATGACGTATTATATGTATTGTTGCATTAAGTTTTCATTGTTGTCAGTACGTAGAAAATGTGCATTTGTCTAAATCAATGTATTTTTTTCTCTTCTACAAACCATTGATTGGTATAAGAACTTAAGAAGGTACTTATTTATACATACAATTTCAGGAGAAGTGGAATATAAAATTGGATAAAAGATCAGAAATATTTATGAACCTACATGGAGCTCTTGGTAATATATACATGTATTATGTTTGTAACACCTAGTCTTTAAAACTACATTTAATAAATTTCCGTGAAGCTAAAACGGTTAAAGTGTGTTTGCAAAAGAAAATATCTTAGTGTTTGAAATTATTTTTGTCCAATAGGATTGCAGTATTTCAAATAAATCGTAACACATTGCTTTGGTAAATCCAGTCTAGAAAATCGACTGTTTATAAAAATAATTAAAAACACTAAGCAGGTTAAAATTATTTAGTACGTATTTACAAAAATAAATTGGCCGCGCGGCTGTGCCGTGCCTGACCAATTTATTTTTGTAAATACATACATATAAACTTTAACCTATACATAATTGCTGTGTTCCGGATAGCGACTATAAAACTGTGACATAGCGCATACACGAGCTGATTATAGTCTTCATTTGCATGTTAAAATTTGTATACGGATTTTAGTGTTACCGTGGGGTTTTCCGTTTAAATTCCTAATTTATGAACAATATTTGATGAGATTTTCAACAATGCTGTTAAAAAGGTTAATGAAACTGTAGAATGCTTGGTTTTTAGGCTGACGGCAAAATATATTTACGTATTTATTTAATGTAGCTTTAACTGAAATTTTTATAGAAAATTTTTCACTAGATGATTTACCTGTAACAAATAAAATGTTACTGGCATTTTAACTTGCCTATGTCACAGTATAGAACATGGGCATTATTTTATATTTCATGGCTTTTGATTTGAAATTGTAAGTTTAAAACATGGATTTTTATTTGAAATTCAGTACAATTCATATACAAATAATATGTAATTTAAATTACATTGCTGTGTATTGAAGTGCTATTCAAAACTCACAGTGCTGTGGTGTGCTGTGATGTACGGAGTTGTACTGCCCAATCATATTACAGTATCTTGTAAGCAATGTAAACATTCTCATTATTGTTCAAAATTTTTCTAAAATTATTTTTGATGATTTTTATAGATGATGTCATGTTAAAGTATAAAGGGCAGCACAGTTTTCTCTACAATGTTAAAACAGGCACCGTTCCAATTGTTATTCATGGAAATGGACCAATTAAGGTTTGTATTTATACTGATTTGATAGAATTATTAAATTTCTGGTTCTCTATGTAGGGAGAAGTATGTAGGGATACAGCCGAGAGATCAAAAATCTGATTGGTGAACTCTGTATGCTTTATAAATTGTAATGTTGGGAATGTATTGGTATATGAGTTTGGAATTAAAAGAGTATAAAAAATGGATAACTTGAAACTAAAGAATGTTTACATGCCAGTGAAGTTATTGACGTTTCTAGTTTAACTAAGTGGAAATTGGGAGGGTTTTTCTTAACTCCGGTTGAAATAAAAGTTACTCAAAGATTATGTACAAACTCATTTCTCTTTAACTACAGATTATGTTGCGATTCTTCCATTTGAATGTTATTGTTTGTTGTTTTTCAAGATCCCTAACTCCTCCATTGACAATTATTGAATTAAAACCCTGTTATGAATTAAAAAAATACATACTGATTTTTAATCTGTACTCAAGTGCCTGTTTGTGCCTGAAATAATTGCTGAAATCGCATCCGATGTTTTACTCTGTCAGTAAAGCTGGAAAGTTGCCATATGATTTTACAGTATTGGTGCGACATAAAACCCAACCCAATAATAAAATAATGATCAAGATGTTTCTTTAAACTTTACCGGGTAGGTCATTGACCCTATTAGCTTACATTTTAAGCTTGTCTATTTGCAAAAACATTCGAGCGAATTCGAGCTATTAAGACTATTTGCAAAACAAATTGAGCCTATTCGTCACCGTAAGCATCGCTATGGTTAAGTTTTTATGTGTTAGCTAGTATTTTCAGAACTATTGAATGAAATGGATTGAAACTTCACACACTTGTTCTCTGTGATTATCTTTCATGATTGACATAAGTTCCATAACTCTGATTTGCTTTTTGCATATTATTGCCCCTTTTTCTGACTTATAAATTCTTGTTTAAGTTTTTGTGTGGAAGCTAGTATCTCAATAACTACTGAATGAAATGGATTGAAACTTCACACAATTCTTTTTGTGACAATTTTATGCATTCTCAATTATCAAACAGTGATTTACTTGATGAAACATTCTATTAACAACCCTTTGTATGCTTTTGGGATAATTTAATGTATTCATATAGCATTAGGTAAGCAATTTACTCAATGAAACACCCTTGTGACATTTCAAGCATTGCTGTCCACTGACAGCTCTTGTTATAAATGTATGACATAGTTGTACATCAAGATATCATCAACATTTTTAAGGTTTCATATTTTATGAGAATTTAGGAGGCAAACATTATTAATTCAATGTTTTTTCCTTCATATAGCCAGAGTTTAACAGACTTGCTAATTATTTAGCGGACAGTTGGACATCAAGTTCAGGATGTATTGCATGTCAGGAAGATACCATTAATCTTGAGGGATTGCTGGTAAGTTTATAATTTATCATACTATTATAATAGTAGGGGTGGCAGGATAGGTGTGATGTCAGAATTATAGTAGTTCTTAACCAAGAGGTGACAAGATGATTTTTTAACTCCACATTTAGCTTCAGAAATGAAGAAATTCTTTCATTCTGTAGGGGTAATATATGTTGTATATAATGGTTATGTGAAATTATTTGTTGTATAGGTAGCAAAATGAATGTTAGCAGTGTCTGTATAATGAATAAATAATGACAGCTATTTATAATTACTTTTGCAAATTCAAATTTCTGATTTAAAATAGTTATACAGGGCTCTCTATAGGGTTAGTCCAACAAACTGTTGTACTGTAACTTTAACTAGTATGATAATACAAAAATGTAATTAAAGTGTTATATAGAGAAATGTTACCAGATTGATGAAAAGAAAATGTAATTAAAGTGATATACATGTATATAGAAAAATGTGACCAGAGTGACAAAAAGAAAATGTAATTAAAGTGATTTATAGAAAAAATGCAACCAGTGATAAAAAGAAAAATGTCATTAAAGTGATATATAGATAAAATGCAACCACAGTGATCAATAGGGAAAAAAATGTTATTAGAGTGATATATAGAAAAATGTAACTTTTAAATATAATATTTTGTGACTATTTGTTTAAAGGAAGAGGATTATCCATCTATTGTATTGGGAGTGTTTGTGGAGCATCCAACACCATTTCTTAGAGAAGCCTTACAGAAGATTGCAGCATTAGATTATCCTAAACAGAAAATTGATTTCTTTATTCATTCATCTGTGAGTGAACATATATTATACTAGATAAACTTGTATTTCTTATTAATTCCATTTTTAGCTCAACTTTTTTCCAAAAGAAAAAAATAGAGGTATCGTTACAGTCATGGTGGCATTCCAGTCTGCAAACTTTAACCTTGATCATTACGTTTTAAGGTATTGGTGCATTAACCATCTAATATAAAAAAGATTTTAAGTTACTTTTTATATCTTTATATTGTAGCCCTGGTTTATTGTGCCCCCACTATAGGGGGTGGGGGGCATTTACTTTTACCCTTGTCCGTCCGTCCGTCCATCCATCCTTCCGTCCCTCTTTCGTCCGTCCGTTCCCTTTTTGTGTGGCACGTAGCTCAAAAAGTAATTGACTTAGAGTCATGAAACCTTACAGAAATGTTGATCAGCATGTGTAGTTGTGCACCTGGGTATTTCCATGTGGATATATATAGTATTTTTAGAGTTATTGCCCTTGACTTAGTAAAAATTTCCAATTTTCAACTAGTGTCGCACGTTTCTAAAAAAATATTTGACCTAGAGTCATGAAACCGTACAAGAATGTTGCTTAGCATGTGTAGTTGTGCACCTGGGTATTTGCATGTGGATATTTTTAGTATTTGTAGAGTTATTGCCCTTGACTTAGTAAAAATTTCCAATTTTTAACTTGTGTCGCACATAACTAAAAAAGTATTTGACCTAGAGTCATGAAACCTAACAAGAATGTTGATCAGCATTTGTAGTTGTGCACATGGGTATTTTTGTGTGGATAATTTTAGTATTTTAGAGTAATTGCCTTTGACTTGGTAAAAATTTTCAATTTTCAACTTGTGTCGCAAATTATTAAACTCAAAAAAAATAGTTGACCTACAGTCATGAAACCTTACAATAATGTTGTTCAGCATGTGTAGTTGTGCACCTGTGTATTTATGTGGGGATATTTTTGGTATTGTAGAGTTATTGCCCTTGACTAAGTAAAATTTTGCAATTTTCAACTTGTGTCACATGTAACTCAAAAAATAGTTGACCTACAGTCATAAAACCTTACAAGAATAGTGCTTAGCATTTGTAGTTGTGCACCTGGGTATTTTTGTGTGGATATTTTTAGTATTTTTAGAGTTATTGCCCTTTACTTAGTAAAAAATACCAATTTTCAACTTGTGTCGCATGTAACTCAAAAAAAAATAGTTGACTTAGAGTCATAAAACCTTACAGGAATGTTGATCAGCATCTGATGATGTGCACCTGGGTATTTTCATATGGATATTTTTAGTATTTTTAGAGTTATTGCCCTTGACTTAGTAAAAATTTACAATATTTAACTTCACTGTGTTGCACATAATTCAAAAGGTTTATGACCTGTAGGCCTAAAAGTTTACAAGAATGTTGGTCAGCATGGGTACTTATGCACCTTGGGGATTTCTTATGGCTTTATTCAGTACAAGTAGTATTTGCCCTTTACTTAATAAAATATATCTATTTGTCAACTTGGGCGCATGTAGAAAAAGAAAATTGACCTAGAGACATAAGGTTGACAAATCCGTGGAGTGTGGGGGCACTTGTGTCCTATGGACACATTTCTATTTTGTATATAATATGTGAGCCTAAATAATTAAGCATGAACGTTTTGACCTGTTTAACTAACTTGTTTTCCTACTGCCAAACTGTTGTTGCGAAAAAGACATCCCGCATTCAAAAAATATCTTGATGTCTCTTTGAAAAGTCTTAATACTAATTTTAAGACTTATTTTATGTACAGTCAGTAAGTACATGTGTAAACTAGGTGTGTAATCTAGAGGATAATGCAAACATATTGAGTAATTTCTCTTTAATTTATTTATCTACTGTATGAACTAGTTACATTACTTTTTAGCTCACCTGTCACAAAGTGACAGGGTGAGCTTTTGTGATCGCTTTTCGTCCGGCGTCCGGCGTCCGTCCGTAAACTTTTGCTTCAAATGACATCTCCTCATAAACCACTAACCCAATTTCATCCAAACTTCACAGGAATGTTCCTTTGGTGGTCACCTTTAAAAATTGTTCAAAGAATTTAATTCCATGCAGAACTCTGGTTGCCATGGCAACCGAAAGAAAAAACTTTAAATATCTTCTAGAGCTTAGATATTTGGCATGAAACATCTTCTAATAAGTGTCTACCAAGTTTGTTCAAATAAAAGCCCTGGGGTCAAAATTGGCCCCGCCCCAGGGGGTCATTCATTTTCCCTATATGCATATATAGTAAAAACTTAAAAATTCTTCTTTAAAGAACCCAAAGAGCTAGAGCTAAGATATTTAGCATTAAACGTGTGCTAATGGGTGTCTACAAAGTTTGTTCAAGTAAAAGCCCTGGGGTCAAAATTGGCCCCGCCCCGGGGCTCATTGATTTTCCTTATATGTGTATAGCAAAAACTTAAAAAATCTTCTTTGAAAAAAACCCAAATAGCTAGAGTTTAGATATTAAGCATGAAACATCTTCTAGTGAGTGTCTACAAAGTTTGTTAAAATAAAAGCCCTGGGGTCAAAATTGGCCCCGCCCTGGGGGTCATTGATTTTCCTTATATGTGTATGGCAAAAACTTAAAATCTTCTTTGAAAAAACAATAGCTAGAGTTTAGATATTAAGCATGAAACTTCTAGTAAGTGTCTACAAAGTTTGTTTAAATAACAGCCCTGTGGCTAAAACTGGCCCCGCCCCAGAGGTGTCATTGTTTTTAACTATATGTGTATAGCAAAAACTTAAAAAAATCTTCTTTTAAAAATCCCAATGAGCTAGAGGTTAGATTGCAGGAAACATCTTTTTGTGGGTGTCTACCAAGTTTGTTCAAATAAAAGCCCTTGGTTTAAAATTGGCCCTGGGGGGGAGGTCATTGTTTTTCATTATATGTGTCTAGTAAAAACTTAACATCATTAAACATCTTCTAATGAGTGTCTTCCAAGTTTGTTCAAATAAAAGCCCTGGGGTTTAAACTAGCCCCGCTCCGGGGGCCTAAATACAGGTGAGCGACCTCAGGGCCATCATGGCCCTCTTGTTTCTCATTTTGTTTTATTTTCAGTTAAGAAATCACCAGAATGAGATAGATTTATTCTTGAACAAGTCTGTCAATACTATAGGTTCATATGACATATGGTGAAACTGGACCATGTAATTACTTTGTTTATCTTATACATATAAATCTGATAATATACTTTTAAATGAAATATTGAGGAAATAATATGCAGTGGTAAATATTTTTCAAATTTTCATCGGTATCTTGCCAGACTACTTTTTTCTACATTCAGCCAGTACACAAAATGAAAGTGGAATTCTTTTGAATTGTAAGATAAAAAAGTACTAAACAAAAAATTCAAATTTTTATATAAATACAGATTTTTTTTTTCTTGTGGTATGAAAATTGCCACATTTTACTTGTGGCTACCACCACTGGTGAAATGATTCATACTGTTTGATGAAAATAAAAAAACTAGAATATGCTCTTCCTCTATATTTTAATCACTATACTGTTGGTAGCTCAATATTTGTATTTTCATCCCTTTAAAATAGAGTGGACTTTTCCAAATTCAAACACCTTTTCAGTAAGTAAATGGTTAACTGAAACATTTTAAGCTCACCTGTCACATTGTGACAGGGTGAGCTTTTGTGATCGCTTTTCGTCCGGTGTCCGTCCGTCCGGCGTCTGTAAACTTTTACTTTAAATGACATCTCCTCATAAACCACTAAGCCAATTTCATCCAAACTTCAAAGGAATGTTCCGTTGGTGGTCACCTTTGAAAATTGTTCAAAGAATTTAATTCCATGCAGAACTCTGGTTGCCATGGAAACCAAAAGAAAAAAACTTTAAATATCTTCTTCTAAAAAACCCAAAGAGCTAGAGCTTAGATATTTGGCATGAAACATCTTCTAGCGAGTGTCTACCAATTTTGTTCAAATAAAAGCCCTGGGGTTAAAATTGGCCCTGCCCCAGGGGGTCATTGATTTTCCCTATATGTAATTAATATAGTAAAAACTTAAAAAATCTTCTTTTAAATACCCTCAGAGCTAGAGCTAAAATATTTAGCATAAAACATCTTCTAATGGGTGTCTACCAAGTTTGCTCAAATAAAAGCCATGGGGTCAAAATTTCGCCCCAGGGGGTCATTGATTTTTCCTATATGCATATAGTAAAAACTTAAAAATCTTCTTTTAAAGAACCCAAAGAGCTAGAGCTTAGATATTTAGCGTGAAACATGTTCTAATGGATGTCTACCAAGTTTGTTCAAATAAGAGCCCTGGGGTCATAATTGGCCCCGCCCCAGGGGGTCATTGATTTTCCCTATATGAATATAGTAAAAACTTAAAAATCTTCTCTTAAAGAACCCAAAGAGCTAGAGCTAAGATATTTAGCATGAAACATGTTCTAATGGATGTCTACTAAGTTTGTTCAAATAAGAGCCCTGGGGTCAAAATTGGCCCCGCCCCAGGGGGTCATTGATTTTCCCTATATGAATATAGTAAAAACTTAAAAATCTTCTTTTAAAGAACCCAAGAGCTAGAGCTAAGATATTTAGCATGAAACATGTTCTAATGGATTTCTACCAAGTTTGTTCAAATAAGAGCACTGGGGTCAAAATTGGCCCCGCCCCAGGGGGTCATTGATTTTCCCCATATGAAATTATGAATATAGTAAAAACTTAAAAATCTTCTTTTAAAGAACCCAAAGAGCTAGAGCTAAGATATTTAGCATGAAACATGTTCTAATGGATGTCTACCAAGTTTGTTCAAATAAGAGCCCTGGGGTCAAAATTGGCCCCGCCCCGGGGGACATTGATTTTCCTGATATGTGTATAGCAAAAACTTAAAAATCTTCTTAGAAAAAAACAGAATACTTAGTAGCTAGAGTTTAGATATTAAGCATGAAAACATCTTGTAGTAATGTCTACAAAGATTGTTCAAATAAAAGCCCTGGGGTCAAAACTGGCCCTCCCCATGGGTGTCATTGTTTTTAAATATATGTGTAAAGAAAAAAACTTAAAAAATCTTCTTTGAAAAAAACCCTTAGATGTTTAGCATGAAACATCTTCTAATGGTTGTCTACTAAGTTTGTTCAAATAAAAGCCCTGGGGTTTAAACTGGCCCCGCTCTGTGGGGCCTATATACAGGTGAGTGACTTCAGGGCCATCATGGCCCTCTTGTTAAAGTTTAAAATTTATGAGAATTTAGGTGGCAAATATTATCACTTCAATGTTTTTGTTTTATTTTCATATAGACAGAGTTTGACAGACTAATTATTTACGACAGTTGAAAATCCAGTTCAGGGTGCTTGTCAAGAAGATACCATTAATCATGAGGAATAACAGGTTAGTTTATAAAAAAAACATACAATTATGATAGTAGGGGTGGCAGGATAGGTGTGATGCCAGAATTTTAAGTTTTCAGTTCCCAACAGGTTTACCCTTTGTTTTTGTCTTTTCATTTGTCCGTCTGAAACCATTTCTACTTTTTGTGTCGCCTCTACGGAGTAGTGGCGACATATAGGGATCACTTCTCCGTCGTCTGTCTGTCCGTCTGTCTGTCCGTCCGTCCGTCACAAAACTTGTCCAGACTACTGCTCATAAACTACTGGTGCAATTTCATCCAAACTTTACAGGAATGATCAGTACCAAGTCTAGTTGTGCATATTGTCAGCATTTACCGGTTCAATGATTTTTGTCAGAGTTATGGCCCTTTAATAGTTTTTAATTTTAAAGTTTGTCCGGACTACTTCTCTTATACCACTAATGCAATTTCAATGAAACTTTACAGGATTGATCTGGCCCTTTGACAAAAAGTTGTTTTTTTCTGTGTGTTGCCAGATACACAAAAGCTTGTCCGGACTACTGCTCATAAACTACTGGTGCAATTTCATCCAAACTTTACAGGAATGATCAGTACCAAGTCCGGTACTTCTCTTATACCACTAATGCAATTTCAATGAAACTTTACAGGATTGATCTGTAGCTCAAGTCCTTGCGCATATTGCACGGGTTTTCCGGTTGAATGATTTTTGGCCGAGTTATGGCCCTTTGATAAAAAGGTGTTTTTTTCTTTGTGTTGCCAGATACACAAAAGCTTGTCCGGACTACTCCTCATAAACTACTGCAATTTTATCCAAACTTTACAGGAATGATCAGTACCAAGTCTAGTTGTGCATTGTCCGTCTGTCTGTCACAAAACTTGTCCCAACATGAAATTGGCCATCATGAGGCGACACATGTGATTACTGATCGCTCTTGTTTATTACCTTCTAACTTTTTATTATGCCGGAGTTATGCCCCTTTTACTTTGAAAATAATGTGCAATTTTAGGTTTTCATACATTATCTCCCCAACGGTATTACACATTCAACTTAAACTTGATATATGAATATGTCATAAAAAGATACAGGTCAAATTCGAATTTGGTTATGGTTAAATAATTTTTGACAGAGTTATGCCCCTTTTACTTAGAAAATAATATGAAATTTTCAGTTTCCGTTCATTATATCCCCAACAGTATTACACATTCAACTCAAACTTGACATATGGATACGTCAAAAGAATGCACAAGTCAAGCTCAAATTTGGTCATTGTTCGATGATTTTTGGCAGAGTTATGCCCCTTTACTTTGAAAATAATATGAAATTTTCAGTTTCTGTTCATTATCTCCCAAATGGTAATACACATTCAACTCAAATTTGACAAATGGATCTGTTAAAGGAATGCAAAGGTCAAGTTTCAATTTGGTTCATTATCTCCTCTAGGGTATTTATCCTCTTGAACTTTGAAAAAAATGAAGAAATTTTAAGTTTCCGTTCATTATCTCTCCAATGGTTGTACACATTCAACCCAAATTTGACATATAGATACATCTTAAACAGTTAAGTTTGAATTTGGTCGTGGTTCAATGATTTTAGACAAAGTTATCTTTCTTGAATGTTGGAAACATTTTGAATTTTCGGTTTCAGCACTCATACTTTTGTTGAATGAATGTAGCCGTTATTATGGCTACAAATATGCGATATGCAAATTACAAAAGGTTAACAATGAATAGTTTCAGTGCCTTGAACTTTGTATAAAATGGTTTGTGTTAACATTGACTAGTTTTAAGGGCTTTGAACTTAAAATGAAAACATAATTTGTGCAAACAAATTTGGAACTAAATATTATAACATCTGAAATTTTGGCTGCATGTGTGGGCATTCGTGGCGTGATGACACATTTCTTGTTTCTATTTTTCTTCCAAAACTGCCTTCAGCTACTCCTACTGTTTGCTTGAAAAATTAAATAAGTAGGGCCTAGAAGAAGAACCATATCTTTTGACTTTCAACAAAGACATGATTGCTATAAAAGAGTGTTACAAGAATATAGAAATATTAACAAATAATTTCTCATATTCTCAATGTGCCCAATTATTTCAATAATCATCAATGAATTAATGACAAAGTATGACTAGACACAGTGTAATGTTTTGAAATCCAAGTATATATACATTTGTAATCTTCATATTTCTAGCTGTTTACTTGGTGTTTGTGTGTGACAAGTTTTCCTAATGTGTCACAATAATATGCCTTGTTATCTTGAATTCTATTAATGAAGGACAAAATGACCAGATATGACTATTTATGTACTTTTATGAAATTATACCTTATAGTCTTAGTTAAACCATTGATCTTTAAGCTTCAAACATGCTTGTACTCATAACAAATTTAAACCAGAACATATAAAATATGTCAATGAATGACAAATATATTGACTGGACATAACTGTAAATGCATTACCATATCATGACTTTGGACATTCAAATATGAATTTGACCTTTCACCTCCTGAACTTAATTTTGTTCATTATATGTCATCTTAAAAACAGCAAATTTATTTCAATGTCCATCCATGAATAACAAAGAAGATCACCTATCATGACATTTGACCAACATGTGTGTTCTTGACCTTTTAACTGGGGCTTAACATTTCATCATCATGTGTAACACATCCATGCAATGTACTTCACTTCAGTGTTGTTATATTTTTCTGGTCCTTTGGGATCATCGATGCCAGCACTATTAAGTGTTGAGAATTGAGTACCGCTCCAGCCGGTGCTAGGGGGCGTGAGGGATGTTGCACCTATTCATTTTCCCTCATGTACAGACTCAATCAAACCGTGTCTGCAATTCTCTCTTGTAATATTGTTGTGATTAATGCTTCCGAGGGATAACTTTGTTTCCAGATTTTTCTATTAAAGTCCATCCAGGAATGACCGTATTGTTGACAGACATGACCATCAATGCTTCAAAAAATGTTGACTTTGGAATACATGTGTGACCTTGACACCAGATTCTTGCATGTGACATGTAGTCATCATGTACATTTTTAGTTTCTTATGACAAGATATTCTGGAGTTCATCCAAGAATGATGAACATCACCCTTTCATGAAAAAAAAAGCATATTATGACTTTGGAATTCAAGCGTGACATTGTCCTTTGAGCTCGGGTAATCCTTTCACATGGTCAACACATGATGATGACTTGTTGCTTTCAAGAATCAGGTCTGCAGCTTAAATGTGAAAGTCACACTTGTACGTCAAACGTTATGATATGATTGTGATATATTTGTGTTTTGTGCATAACTTTGTAATTCATGGATTGATTTTGAAATACTTGCGCATTGAGATTTTTGTTACACTGGATATATTCATAGTAAGTTTAAACATATAAGTCCTTAAAGGCATAAACCAACTTTAGGACTAACTTCAATAGCAATTTTTATCTTCAGTCAAATACTATTGACTATAAATAAATACATTCACCTTAGAAAAGTTAAGAAAGACAATGACAAACCCTTTTCGTTGCAATGTGTAAATGCCCAGCATTGCTTTTCAGAAAATTAAAAGAGTCATAATATAGGAGTTATAAGGTAGGACAATTTGTTTTTGAAATGCAAAATTGTCTCAGTTTTGGCCGTAAGACTGAAACACAGCCTACCTTTGTAGCTCAAATGTTTGTTAACACTTTAAATGTTTTGTAAAATGATATAAATTTTAAAAGATCTTTTTTGTCAAGTCCATAATTTTCTCTTTCGTAGATATAGTTTGAAGATCAATGAAAAGTAAACTTACTAGGGACAATGGTTAGAAGGTGACTCCTTATCATGCTAATTGTACCCTCCTTTTGGAAGAAAAAACGGGATATAGAAATAGGCTCTGTGTGTCCGTCCATTATGTTCTCGTGTCCAGTCCATAACTATGTCATTTGTCAAAGGAATTTGAAATAACTTGGCACAGATGTTTGTTATAATAAGACAATGTATCATGCATAACAACCGGATCCCTACATCCAAGGTGAAGGTCACACTTTGTAATCAAAGGTCAACATTGACTGTTTGAGGGTACATGTCGTGTCCGTTCCGTAACTTTCTTTTCTATGAATGGTTTTTGAACATTGTTTGCACTAATAATTACAATATTGAGACAATGTGTCTTGTGCAAAAACCAGTCACCTACCTCAAATGTCAAGGTCACAGTTGGAGATTAACATAGTCTGTAACAGGGAATATTTTGTGTCCGGTCCATAACTTATTCAGAGATAAAGGGATTTTATGATTATTTGGCACACAAATGTTCACAATAATAAGTCGACGTGTTATGAGGGAAACCAGTTGTCTGCCTCCAAGGTTGTAGGTCAAACCTTAACATGGTCTTTTAAATGGTATATTTTGTGTGCAGTCTATAATTACTTTATTGTTGATGAATTTGAAATTATTAGGCACAAATGTTCACAATAATGGTAGCATATGTCATTTGCAACAGCCAGACTTCTACCTTTAATGTCAAGATCACACTTGAGTGCCATATCGTAACCTTGTCTGTTCTTAGGTATATTTTGTGTGCGGTTCATCAATCAAGGGATTTCAGAATAATTTGACACAATGTTAACAATTATAAGATGACATGTTTAACCCCTACCTCAAAGGTCAAGGTCAAGGTCACACTTGGAGGTCAATGCCTGAAATAGGCTGTGACAGGGTATGAAAACAGGCCAGTGCAAATAAAAGGTCATTAGTGAATTAACCACATACCTTGATTGATGACTGGACACAAAATGTACCCTGTAACAGACCATATCCTCTATGTCACATTTTGCACAAATGTATTTCTTTTGACACATACACAGGAAATATTACATTATATTTCTTAAATGAATTTTTGTTATTAGCATTCATCACAATTTTGCACTGAAAGTCCAGATCCATACCTCATTTTTTTGAAATAGCACAAATTTGTGCTAGTGTAAAATTTCCCTTAGGGTGACGTTGGTAACTCTGTTACAAATTCTTGTTATACATAATTTTTCTGTTACAAATTCTTGTTATACATATTTTTTCTGTTACAAATTCTTGTTATACATAATTTTTCTGTTACAAATTCTTGTTTTACATATTTTTTTCTGTTACAAATTCTTGTTATACATAATTCCAAAATTGTTAAGCGCTTTTTCTGAAATCATTGTATAGTCAGTAATTAGTGTTTTCCTCAGTCATAGGGTTTTTTGAATAATTTTAGTGATAATACATGTACTTTTTATTATACATAATATATATAGTATTTTTTTATATAACACTTGACTAGAATAAAATATTCATATTAAAAGTAATGTAAATATGCCACTGTTACAGGTAAATGAAGTAAGTGGCATATTCCTCCTATGGACTGTAGTATTTTTATATTGAAATTCCTTCAAGTATAAATGAAAAGTTCAAAGCAGGGTAAGTTCATTTCAGTTGAACAGGTTAAAGGTAAAGATATATATTTATTTTTCCAGCTGCCACTGACAAGGTTACTGGCTAAATATGGAGTTGAACCTATTGAGAAGAAACATGAAAGAACTTTATACTATCTTCATAAAGCAGATGAAAAAAGAAAATCTACGTAAGTTGTGTACATATATTCATCACATTTGACCAAAGCACCTAGTGTAATAAGAATTTTATGTGATGTCAGTTTAATGTGAGGAAGCGTCCAACTAGCTTAGAATTAAAACATCGATGGTTCTACTCAGGCGACTGTGTGTGCCGGAAATAATGCATGGAAGTCACCTGAGGTCGCCATATGACCTTTACTGTCTAGGCGTGATAGAAAATCAAATAACAAACGTGAATCATGTGTCTCCAGTCAATAATCGCTTTGATAAGTGAATCATGTGTCTAGCGTCAATATTGACTTTGATGAGTGAATCGTGTCTAGAGTCAATATTGGCTTTGATGAGTGAATCATGTGTCTAGATTCAATATTGGCTTTGATATGTGAATCATGTGTCTAGATTCATATTTGCTTTGATAAGTGAATCATGTGTCTGGATTCAATATGGCTTTGATGAGTGAATCATGTGTCTAGAGTCGATATTGGCTTTGATGAGTGAATCATTTGTCTGGATTCAATATTGGCATTGATGAGTGAATAATGTGTCTAGAGTCAATATTGGCTTTGATGAGTGAATCATGTGTCAAGAGTCAATATTGGCTTTGATGAGTCAATCATGTGCCTAGATTTAATATTGGCTTTGATATGTGAATCATTTTTCTAGATTCATATTTGCTTTGAAAAGTGAATCATGTGTCTGGATTCAATATTGGCTTTGATAAGTGAATCATTCATCTAGAGTCGATATTGGCTTTGATGAGTGAATCATGTGTCTAGAGTCAATATTGGCTTTGATAAGTGAATCATGTGTCTAGAGTCAATATTGGCTTTGATGAGTGAATCATGTGTCTAGAGTCAATAATGGCTTTGATAAGTGAATCATGTGTCTAGAGTCAATAATGGCTTTGATAAGTGAATCATGTGTCTAGAGTCAATATTGGCTTTGATAAGTGAATCGTGTGTCTAGAGTCAATAATGGCTTTGATAAGTGAATCATGTGTCTAGAGTCAATAATGGCTTTGATACAATATTTTGTATAGCAAACAGTGACATCTTACGGAACTGTTTACATGTGCACTTAGTCTATTTCATACACAAATATGAACTTTGTGATATAAGTTTAAGATTTAGATTTTATTCTGCTTTGATTTATAGTTAAAGATCCTGTAACACAATTTTTTCATGGTTTTATTTCATAAATATGATGCTCAAAATAAGATTTGTCAATATTGTAAGTAAGTTCCAATAAGCAGTATTAATAAAGATATTACCAATTTAACATTAAATTTTCATGTAAATGAAGGGAGGAAATTAGAAATTTATTTTCTGTAAATTCTAAGTCAAATTTTCTAATAAGAAATGAATGCATATAATTTATTGATTACATATCATGTGCACAAATATTTGCTGTACATATTTTACACTTTCTTCGATGTTTGAAAATTGTTTTATTTGCATAATTGTATACATATATAATTTCTTTTAAGTGTTGTACACATACAGTAACAATATCAATCACAAAACATGCAGGATCTTTAACTTGTTCCTTGTATTGTAGGGGCCTATACAAATGTACTTTTTTTGTGAGCAGTTGACCTGAGCAATGGATTGAAAAAGAGGAACTAAATTTTCTACAGCTAAAGATCCACGATAAATGTAAAGTCAGGGAAAGCAGTGATCCCTCGGAAGCATTTATAAAAAATTACATGAAAATTTCATGCTTGGTTTGATAAAGTCATTCATGAAGGACAGTCAAACCATCAACTTTATATTCTTCTTTTTGACAGGTTGTTTTCATATTGTCTGAATATTCAAATAGATTTAATTGTATTGAAAATGTGTTTATATACATATATTTTGTATAATTCAGTATACTGCAAATGGAGGTAAGATGTCTTCAAAAAGAGAAACCTGAAAATAAAGGTAATTGTCTATCTTCATTGTCTGATTTTAATTTAACTGATTTTTGTGTCGCCTTGAAAAGGTGACATATAGGGGTTACTTTAGTTGGCGGCGTCGGCGGTGTCAGCGTCGGTTGTGCCGTTGTCGGCGTCTGCGTCAACAAAAGCTTGTCCCGAGCATAAGTCAGTCACTATTAGTCGGATTGACTTCAAACTTAGTATGCATGCTCCTTTCAATATCACGAAGTGCAGTGCACAAAGACAGGTACTCTGCACTTCTTATTTTTTGAGTTATTGCCCTTTGTAAATTTTCATACTTTAATTTTGTCCGGGCCATTCCTCTTCAACTATAAAAGCTATGGACTTGAAACATCATAGGGTGGTAGATCTCATTAAGAAGAAGTGCAGTGGACAAGAATCCGTACTCTGCACTTCCTAACTTTTGAGTTATATCCCTTTGTTAATTTTCATACTTTATTTTTGTCCGGGCCATTTCTCTTCAACTATAAAAGCTATGGACTTGAAACATCATAGGGTGATAGATCTCATTAAGAAGAAGTACAGTGGACAAGAATCCGTACTCTGCACTTCCTAACTTTTGAGTTATTTCCCTTTGTTAATTTTCATACTTTATTTTTGTCCGGGCCATTTCTCTGAAAGTATTAAAGCTATGGACTTGAAACTTCATATGATGATAGATCTCATAAAGAAAAAGTGCAGTGTTTAAGAATCCGGACTCTGCACTTCCTAACTTTTGAGTTATTGCCCTTTGTAAATTTTCATACTTTAATTCTGTCCGGGCCATTCCTCTTCAACTATAAAAGCTATGGACTTGAAACATCATATGATGATAGATCTCATGAAGGAAAAGTGCAGTGCACATGAACCGTTACTCTGCATTTTTTATTTTATGAGTTATTGCCCTTTGTTAATTTTCATACTTTTTTCTGTCCAGGTCATTTCTCCTCAAGTATAAAAGCTATAGACATGAAACTTCATAGGATGATTGATCTTTTTAAGAAAAAGTGCAGTGTACAAGAACCGGTACTCTGCATTTCTTATTTTTGAGTTATTACCCTTTATTAATTTTCATACTTTATTTATGTCCAGGCCATTTCTCATAAATTATAAAAGTTATGGACTTGAAACTTCATAGAATGATAGATCTTATTGATAAGAAGTGCAGTGCATAGAAACTGCTGCTCAGCACTTATTACTTTTAGAGTTATTGCCCTTTGTTGATTTTCATATTTCATTTTTGTCCTGGCCATTTCTCCTAAACTATATTGTTCACAAGGCGACACATCTGACTCGCGGAGTTCTAGTTCTGATTAAACACTGTCTGTTGTTAGTTCCCTTCTAATTTTTCCACCGTCTGCCATTCCACATGACAGAATAGGGATAGGGAGCCAAGGACAAAAAAGAACAATAGAATTCATTCTGTAACAATAAAGTATGAGGCCTACTGTTATGGCTCTTTATTAAACAAAGAGTATGCACTTCAGTTTTACCTTAACTTTTTAGAAAAAAAAATAAAGAAGTGTTTATTATCTAGACAAACATGACATAACAATGCAAAATTACACTGCATCTGTGTATGTGTCAAGTATCATGACTCAGAAAGTTGACATAATTGTGCGTCTTCCCTTACTTAAAAATATCACAGAAATATACCTATAGCTTAGTTATTTCCGTGGCCGAGTGGTTAAGGTTGTTGACGTCAAACCACTTGCCCCTCACCGCTGTGGGTTTCGAATCCCGACAGGGACTTTGGATTCTTTCATGCGAGGAAGCTATCTAGCTAGCTTACAGAACGTCGATGGTTCTACTCAGGTGCCCGTTCGTGCCCGAAATAATGCACGGAAGGGCACCTGAGGTTTTCCTCCACCAGTAAAGCTGGAACGTCGCGATATGACCTTTATTGTGTCAATGTCACATACCCCGGCCCCCCAGAAGAAAAAAAAGAAAAGAAAAAAGGAAGAAAGTTATTTATAAATAAATTGTTTTATTCTTGAAAACTCCTGAATTATGGACTTTTTATCTGCCCGAAAGGGCATATTATGTTATACCCCCTGGCGTCCGTCCGTCCGTCCGTTAGCAATTTGGTTTCCGGAGCATAACTTAAGTTCCATTTGGCCCACAATGTTCAAACTTCATAGGATGATTGAAGACCCCTATTGGTTTTGGGGTCACAAAGTCAAAGGTCAAGGTCACTATTACCTTGATACTGAAAACAGTTTCCGGAGCATAACTTAAGTTCCAATTTGCCCACAATGTTCAAACTTCATAGGATGATTGTCCATATTGGGTAGAAGACCCCTATTGATTTTGGGGTCACAAGGTCAAAGGTCAAGGTCACTATGACCTTAAAACTGAAAACAGTTTTCGGAGCATAACTTGAGTTCTATTCGACCCACAATGTTCAAACTTCATAGGATGATTTTCCATATTGGGTAGAAAACCCCTATTGATTTTGGAGTCATAAGGTCAAAGGTCAAGGTCACTATTACCTTGATACTGAAAACAGTTTCCGGAGCATAACTGAAGTTCCATTAGACCCATAATGTTCAAACCTTATATGATGATTGTCCATATTGGGTAGAAGACCCTATTGATTTTAGGGTCACAAGGTCAAAGGTCAAGGTCACTATTACCTTGATACTGAAAACAGTTTCCGGAGCATAACTTAAGTTCCATTTGGCCCACAATGTTCAAAGTTCATAGGATGATTGTCCATATTAGGTAGAAGACCCCTATTGATTTTGGGGTCAAAAGGTCAAGGGTCAAGGTCACAATATCCTTAAAACTGAAACAGTTTCTGGAGCATAGTTCCATTTGACCCACAATGTTCAAACTTCATAGGATGATTGTCCATATTATGCAAAAGACCCCTTTTGATTTTGGGGTCACTAGGTCAAAGGTCAAGGTCACAATTACCTTAAAACCAAAAACAGTTTTCGGAGCATAACATAAGTTCCATTTGGCCCACTTTAAGTTTATTCAAACTTCATAGGATTATTGTCCATATTGGGTAGAAGACCCCTATTGATTTTGGGGTCACAAGGTCAAAGGTTTAGGTCATTATTAATAACTTAGTATTAATCAACCTACAGCTGTAAAATTTTATAGGATGAACAGCTAATTCCCATGTCTTACAAATGCTTCATCCTTACTAAAAAAAAATACTTTCGGGCATATAATGCTCCGCCTAGCGGTGCTCTTGTTGGGACTTACATTGATATTGAGACATAAATGACCTTGCCTTTCACTGTTTATGTTTACATGGTTAACCTTTGAATGGATGTTCAGTACTTGAACTTTGCTCGAGTATGTACATATATTGATTTTGGGGTCACACATTTGCAGGAATATAATCACGAAGGCCAATAGGTATTCCTGATTAGTTACAAAGAATTTTAACCATAAACTGTGCATTATTATACTGCAATGCATGAATAATGAATATCTATTTCTATTCTAACGTGCTAATAAAAGAAAAGAGAAAATTATGTTGAAGATATTTGGCATATAAGTATTTTATAAGTCTCATTTGGTTTTTTGATGGCAAATGGCGTGTTTGCATTCCTTTATTATGCCATGCTCATCAGTCCTACCAGTTTTGTACGAGAATGATGTAAAGCATGTTAGACTTAATAATTAATATATGTGACGTCATTGTGTCTGTTTTTGCACATTCTGTTGTTCAGGGGGCCGATTATGATTATGAGTTTTTAGGCCCCGGGCCACAAACTCTATATCGGTCATGTGACACTCGTAATAAGTTAAAACTGTTTTCAACTTTGTTACTTTGTATAGAAACCAAGTGTATTAATTGATATTTAATATACATTTAATGTTCATTATTTCATTTACAGGATGGTATTATGTACCAACACAAGGTCAGTTTAAAGAAAGGGAAGACATGTACGGAAGTCAGGAGATGGTGAAGGCTAGAGAATTAGGGAAATAACTTGTTACTAAGATATGTCGTACAGGATTATTATGAAACAAAGCCACTTATTATTTAAATGCATTGCTTTTGAACTTTTAATGTGGTTTATTGACATAATTTCCTCTTCACAGTTTTAGACATAATATAGATATATGAGGATTTTCAAATAAACTTTAAGTAACCTGAATTAAAGAAGAATTATTGAAGAATAAAGTGTTAGATATTGTATGAAACATATTGTTTTGCATCAAATTTTGTGAATAAACATTGAGTAAATATTGTTCCTTATCAATCTATATCGTTGCTGTGTAATGCTTTGGCTATAAAAATGTGTACAGAACCATTAAGGTACGCTAGGAACATACTCATCATAAATAGGTTTTAGTCTGAAAGGTAAACTAGATTCAGACTACTAAAAGTAATGGTAGAGCTGTATACATAATTTTGTGTATTTATTAAAGAAAACATATTCATTTTTTAGCTCACCTGTCACAAAGGGTGAGCTTTTGTGATCGCTTGTCGTCCGTCGTCCGTAAACTTTTACTTTAAAATGACATCTCCTCATTAACCACTCAGCCAATTTCATCCATACTTCACAGGAATGTTCCTTTGGTGGTCACCTTTGAAAATTGTTCAAAGAATTTAATTCCATGAAGAACTCTGGTTGCCATGGCAACCAAAAGAAAAAACTTAAAATATCTTCTTCTAAAAAACCCAAAGAGCTAGAGCTTAGATTTTTGGCATGAAATATCTTCTGGTGAGTGTCTACCAAGTTTGTTCAAATAAAAGCCCTGGGGTCAAAAGGGTCAAAATTGGCCCCACCCCAGGGAGTCATTGATTTTCCCTATATGCATATAGTAAAAACTTAAAAAGTCTTCTTTTAAAGAACCAAAAGAGCTAGAGCTAAGATATTTAGCATGAAACATCTTCTAATGGGTGTCTACCAAGCTTGTGCAAATAAAAGCCCTGGGGTCAAAATTGGCCCCGCCCCAGGGGGTTATTGATTTTCCCTATATGCATATAGTAAAAACTTAAAAATCTTCTTTTAATGAACCAAAAGAGCTAGAGCTAAGATATTTAGCATGAAATATGTTCTAATGGATGTCTACCAAGTTTATTCAAATAAAATCCCTTGGGTCAAAATTGGCCCCGCCCCAGGGGGTCATTGATTTTCCCTATATACATATTGTAAAAACTTAAAAAAATCTTCTTTTAAAGAACCCAAAGAGCTAAAGCTTAGATATTTAACATGAAACATCTTCTAATGGGTGTCTTCCAAGTTTGTTAAAATAAAAGCCCCGGGGTTTAAACTGGCCCCGCTCAGGGGGCCTATGTACAGGTGAGCGACTTCAGGGCCATCATGGCCCTCTTGTTATGTATTTCACCAAAACAGAAGGTTCAGGGTGAGCTATTAGTATCAAAGGGGGATGCTCTGTCGTCATGCGTCAACATTCATCTTCTTCTCTGAAACCACCTGGCAGATTTACTTTTAATTTGGTCTGTAGCATCCTCATAAAAATCATATTGTGAGCTATTTTTAGCTTGACTATTCGCAGAATAATCGAGCTTATGCAGTCACACATTTATCGTCGTCGGCGTCCCTGTGGTTATGTTTTTGCGTGTAAGCTGTTATCTCCATAACTACTGAAGGGAATGGATTGATACTTCAAACACTTGTTCTCTGTGATTATCTTACATGATGGGCACAAGTCCCATAACTCTGATTTGCTTTTTTGCAAAATTATGCCCCTTTTTCGACTTGGACATTCTTTGTTAATTTTTTGCATGTAAGCTGGTATCTCCATAACTACTGAAGGGAATGGATTGAAACTTCACAAAGTTGTTCTCTGTGATTATCTACCATGCTTGGCACAGGTCCCATAACTCTGATTTCTGATGAGTGTGTACATGAGGGATAACAAATAGGTACAACATCCCTCACGCCCCCTAGCACCGGCTTGAGCTGTACTCAATTCTCAACACTTAATAGTGCTTAAAGTTTCATTCTCTTCATTTTACTGGTTTTATAAATTTAAAATGCTTTTTCAAATATTTTCATTGGCTTTTATATTTTTACCGTATCCGACCATGAATATGGACAAATAGTCCAAAAGACTAAAAAGTGTAATATCCGAGATGTGTGACATAATTTTTATCCCAGAGGTCCGACCCATATTCAAACTTGGCCTAGGAATAATCAGAATAACTTTTCTGACCAATTTCAAGGTTATTTGGTCCAAAACTAGTCTCTAAAATGTTAACAGGTTTTCCTATATTTAAACTTTGTGAGCTAGTTTTTGACCCCAGACGATCCATATTCAAACTTGACTTAAAAATCATCATAACAACCTTTCTTACCAATTTCCAGAACATTTGGTCCAGAACAGCAGTCTCTACAAATGTTAACAGGTTTTTCCATATTTTGGCTGTGTGACCTAGTTTTTAACCCCAGATGACCTAATATTTGGGCTGTGTGACCTAGTTTTTAACCACAGATGACACATTTTTTACCTTTCTAACCAATTCCAGGGACATTTGAACAGACACAGTAGTCCTTAGGGTGTATACAAGGTCTTTCCAAATTTGGGATGTTGGACCTTGTTTTTGACCCAATATAGCCCATATTTGAACTAGAACTGAAAATCAACCTTTATGACTGTCTCAATTTCCAAAACAGTAGCCTCAAGAGTGTTAATAAGAGATTTTTATTTTAAGCTACAGTGACCTAGCTTTTCATGCGAGAAACATGGAAGAACATTTTGATCAAGTTAATAGAAACAATTAATACAAAAATGTAAACATTAGATTGTTAATGAACTAAAAGTGGACGGACAACAGACGACAGACCAGCAACGTTCAATTATCCTAAAAGCTTACCCTGCCAGCTCAGGTGAGCAAAACAGTTGAATCGTTTAATATTCCGGTCAAAAATTGGTTAAATTACAGGTAAAATTATGCAGAAAAGCATGTTTCAGAAATACTATAAAATCCGATATCCTGTAATTGTGAAAAGAAAAACAAAATCAAACAAGCAAATTTGTTGAATTTATATCCCCCGCCGAGTACTGGTTATTATTAACACAACAACTAAAGACATAAGGCTTTATTTATATATTAATCATGGCATAAGCAGTAATATTCTTTGAACTTGATAAATATTCAGGGCAATAACAGAGCCATAATTTTGTGTTAAATAGTAAAATCTGGAAATGCCAATGAGATGTATGCATACTACATAACTAATCAAGGGCCATAAATCTGAGTTATAAGTATCTGACCGGGAACAAGGCGACTATAAGCACATCTTCTCTTAGTATCCCATAAAGTTTCATTGAATTCCAGCCAGTAGAAGCAGAGAAGTAGGGAGGAAACAAATATTTTTCTATATGGATACTGCATAATTAATCAAGGGCCATAACTCTGAGTTAAAGTGTCTGACCGGAACAAGCCGTCAATATGCGCATCTCCTCTTGGTATTGAAGGTTCCCATAAAGTTTCGTTGAATTCCAGCCAGTAGTTGCAGAGAAGTAGCACGGAAACGATTTTTACTCCATATGCATACTACATAACTAATCAAGGGCCATAACTCTGAGTTAAAGTGTCTGACCAGAAAAAGCCTACGATAGCGCATCTCCTCTTGGTATTGAAGGTTCCCATAAAGTTTCGTTGAATTCCAGCCAGTAGTTGCAGAGAAGTAGCGCGGAAACGCTTTTTTACTCTATATGCATACTACATAACTAATCAAGGGCCATAACTCTGAGTTAAAGGGTCTGACCGGAACAAGCCAACGATATGCACATCTCTTGATATTGATGATTCCCATAAAGTTTCGTTGAATGCCAGCCAGTCGTTGCAGAGAACTACTCCGGAAACAATTTTTACTCTATACACATACTGCATAACAAATCAAGGGCCATAACTCTGAGTTAAAGGGTCAGACCGGAACAAGCCGACGATATGCGCATCTCCTCTTGATATTGATGATTCCCATGAAGTTTCGTTGAATTCCAGCCAGTAGTTGCAGAGAACTACTCCGGAAACGATTTTTACTCTATATACATACAGCATAACTAATCAAGGGCCATAACTCTGAGTTAAAGGGTCAGACCGGAACAAGCCGACGATATGCGCATCTCCTCTTGATATTGATGATTCCTATAAAGTTTCGTTGAATTCCAGCCAGAAGTTGCAGAGAACTACTCCAGAAACGAAATTCGTACGGACGGATGGACGGAAGGACAATACCAAAACTATATCCCCCTCCCGATTCCATCGGCGGGGGATAACATATATCGATAGATTGATTTTCTATAGACTTGGCGGTCAAGGATAATTTACGAAAGTGCAAGTACTTATTTCCAGTAGGGTCCTTAACTCAGAAGACTCTAGAGACAGCTATGAGATACAAGAGAGTCCAGGAACCAGTTCTTAACTCTTTTTGAATAGATCCCTCGGTTATTTTACATGCCCAGTGTATAGCACTGATACATGCGAGTTTGTTTGTTTCATTTTACGCATTTTCCAAACGAGATTGTTTGTTTCAATTTATGCCTTTTCCCCAACAGTATTTCAGTCATATAGGTGGGTAGTTTCCTAACCATTGTTCTTGGAGAGTAAAACCAGTACTAGGCTTCCTTCCTCCATGCTTAACTACCAAAGCATCTCCTGGGGATCGAACCCACGCCAGAGAGGTAACTGGATTAGAAGTAATCGACTCTAACCCCTCGACCACGGAGGCGGTCTTGATACATGTGAGGATTATCTGGGTTTCATACCAGTTAACCTCTACGTAGGTGGAAAACACTGAAAGTGTCTCTGAAAAATCCCAAGGGTGTTACATAGGATCGAACCCGGAACCTCAGGAGTGACAGTCATTAGTCTAACCAACTGAACTATCGCACAACCTCAAATCGATGTGTGTGTGTGTGTGCGTGTAAGTGTGCGGATGCACATGGGTGCATACTTGAGTGCATGTATCAAACATAATAGTAAAACAAATACGATTTTTTATCAATAGCATTTTATTTTTTTAAATGGTTCTCATCATAATCATAGTAAAATTAAACATATATATATATTCATATATATAGCGTTAATTTCAGAAACAAATATTTTAACATGTTCATTTGTTTCAAACAAAAATAATAACAAAACAGAACAAAGCATAAAGATCTGATCACCATATAACAAATGTACAAATACAACATATGATACATAAATGACTTATCATCATCACATAAACAAAACGTAGCTGAAACAACAAGAGCTGTCACAGGAG